TTACTTTAATTTATGTTAATTGAAGGTGGTTTAAAGAGAAATAATACATATTTGAACACATTTTTTCAAAATAAAGTGATTTTGCTCTGCATTTTACCCATTTTTCATCGGTTTTTGTCATTTTTTGTCTTTTTTTAAAAAAGTGGTATAACTTTTTTGTTTTAATCGCTATTAAAAATTGTCAAAAGAAAAAAGTGTTTATTTTTAGTCGTAATTTTCGAAAAAAAATTAAAAAAATTTTTTTTTTGAAAAATGTGAATTTTTGAAATTTTTAAAAACTCAAAATTTGAATAATTTTGTTGATTTTTGATGAAATCATCTGGCCAACGAACTCAGGCGAGATTTTGGTACACTTAAAGTGTATACCAAATTTGAGGTCGATTAATTAAAATTTACTCAAGTTATCGTCGAGACAACTTTTTTGTCTACAGACATACAGACATACATACATACATACATACATACATACAGACAAACATTTGTTTAAAACCTATTTTTTTGGCATCAGGATGTCTTGAAACGTGGAGATTCACAAGAATTAGATATTGGTCAAAATCGGGCAAATGTAATACTTTCTCATTATGATGAGAATGTAAAAACAAATTTTTAATTAAAAAAATTCAAAAAAAAAAAAAAAAAAATAAAATTCGAAATATTATGAGTAAGTTACTTTAATTTATGTTAATTGAAGGTGGTTTAAAGAGAAATAATACATATTTGAACACATTTTTTCAAAATAAAGTGATTTTGCTCTGCATTTTACCCATTTTTCATCGGTTTTTGTCATTTTTTGTCTTTTTTTAAAAAAGTGGTATAACTTTTTTGTTTTAATCGCTATTAAAAATTGTCAAAAGAAAAAAGTGTTTATTTTTAGTCGTAATTTTCGAAAAAAAATTAAAAAAATTTTTTTTTTGAAAAATGTGAATTTTTGAAATTTTTAAAAACTCAAAATTTGAATAATTTTGTTGATTTTTGATGAAATCATCTGGCCAACGAACTCAGGCGAGATTTTGGTACACTTAAAGTGTATACCAAATTTGAGGTCGATTAATTAAAATTTACTCAAGTTATCGTCGAGACAACTTTTTTGTCTACAGACATACAGACATACATACATACATACATACATACAGACAAACATTTGTTTAAAACCTATTTTTTTGGCATCAGGATGTCTTGAAACGTGGAGATTCACAAGAATTAGATATTGGTCAAAATCGGGCAAATGTAATACTTTCTCATTATGATGAGAATGTAAAAACAAATTTTTAATTAAAAAAATTCAAAAAAAAAAAAAAATAAAATAAAATTCGAAATATTATGAGTAAGTTACTTTAATTTATGTTAATTGAAGGTGGTTTAAAGAGAAATAATACATATTTGAACACATTTTTTCAAAATAAAGTGATTTTGCTCTGCATTTTACCCATTTTTCATCGGTTTTTGTCATTTTTTGTCTTTTTTTAAAAAAGTGGTATAACTTTTTTGTTTTAATCGCTATTAAAAATTGTCAAAAGAAAAAAGTGTTTATTTTTAGTCGTAATTTTCGAAAAAAAATTAAAAAAATTTTTTTTTTGAAAAATGTGAATTTTTGAAATTTTTAAAAACTCAAAATTTGAATAATTTTGTTGATTTTTGATGAAATCATCTGGCCAACGAACTCAGGCGAGATTTTGGTACACTTAAAGTGTATACCAAATTTGAGGTCGATTAATTAAAATTTACTCAAGTTATCGTCGAGACAACTTTTTTGTCTACAGACATACAGACATACATACATACATACATACATACATACAGACAAACATTTGTTTAAAACCTATTTTTTTGGCATCAGGATGTCTTGAAACGTGGAGATTCACAAGAATTAGATATTGGTCAAAATCGGGCAAATGTAATACTTTCTCATTATGATGAGAATGTAAAAACAAATTTTTAATTAAAAAAATTCAAAAAAAAAAAAAAATAAAATAAAATTCGAAATATTATGAGTAAGTTACTTTAATTTATGTTAATTGAAGGTGGTTTAAAGAGAAATAATACATATTTGAACACATTTTTTCAAAATAAAGTGATTTTGCTCTGCATTTTACCCATTTTTCATCGGTTTTTGTCATTTTTTGTCTTTTTTTAAAAAAGTGGTATAACTTTTTTGTTTTAATCGCTATTAAAAATTGTCAAAAGAAAAAAGTGTTTATTTTTAGTCGTAATTTTCGAAAAAAAATTAAAAAAATTTTTTTTTTGAAAAATGTGAATTTTTGAAATTTTTAAAAACTCAAAATTTGAATAATTTTGTTGATTTTTGATGAAATCATCTGGCCAACGAACTCAGGCGAGATTTTGGTACACTTAAAGTGTATACCAAATTTGAGGTCGATTAATTAAAATTTACTCAAGTTATCGTCGAGACAACTTTTTTGTCTACAGACATACAGACATACATACATACATACATACATACATACAGACAAACATTTGTTTAAAACCTATTTTTTTGGCATCAGGATGTCTTGAAACGTGGAGATTCACAAGAATTAGATATTGGTCAAAATCGGGCAAATGTAATACTTTCTCATTATGATGAGAATGTAAAAAAATTGAATATATCTCATTTACGTAGAACATTAATTTAACAATAAGTTTTATTCCTTTTTTTATAAATATATAAAATAGAAAAATAAAAAGTGTGCAGAAAAAAAATTCTTTTTATTTTTGAATAAAAGTCTATTTTTTTGAAAAGTTCCCTATTTTAATTCGCGCGTTATTTTGATATAAATAATGTAAATTAAGCAACAGTATTTCTACAAAAAAAATCATTACAAAAACTATAATTAAACTGATAATTTTAACGCTTAACTGATCAGTTAAGGGTTAAAAAATTTTTAAATTTAAAATATAATTTTAATATAATCTAAATAATAAAAATTCTTTATCTTCTCTATAAAAAAAATCCCTAATGCAGATAAATAATCCTTAATAGATTAGATTTATTTTGTTTATGAAACATTCTTAATTGTATTCCTTTTTTTCAAGGGATTGATTGTTTTTGAAGTTATCTGAATAATAAACATTCTTTATGAAATATCCTCCTGCTTCAATTTGAGCTCGAAAAAATGCTCGGGTCTACTGGACCCATGGTGCCTGTTAAGGGTTAAAAAAAAGTAAAATGAGAAAAAATATACAATATAAATAAAACAAAATGATGCAAGTTCCAAAATATAATAAAAAGTACCTATAACATAAATAATAATAATATAATAAAAACAATAAAAATAATAATTTTGTGTATTTAGAAATAATAATAATAGTAATTTTTTATTAATGAACAAAATCGAAATTATTCAAATACTTCCAAGTCAATCTTTCTTATTTGAGATATTAAAAAAAAAGGAAAAAAAACAACAATTAATATTCATGAAAAATAGGTAAGTAATGAATCATTTAAATATTTAAAAAAAATTTTTCCTGGATGGCAAAAACTATAATAAATAATTTTATTACTTTGTAAAATTTTTTTTAAATATTTAAAAAATTTGTCTTCAATCTACAATGTATATAAAAAATTTTCTATTTATGAAGCAAAAGAAAAAAAAATATTAAAATTATTATTTTTTAAAAATACATTATTCATATTACCAACAGTGGTAAAAGATTAGACTTGATTACTAATTAACTTGTCACTTTTTTTCTCAAATGCATAGGAAAAAAAAAAATTTTTTTTTTTCATTTTTCATTATTGCGTATTAGAAAATTTATGATCAAAAGAAACAAAATGTAAAACTTTTCAGAAAAATTCATAATATTCTATTTTTAAATTCTATAGTTTTTTTTTTTTTTTATTAATACTAATCAGTGAATTTTTAGCCTAAGACCAAAGTTTAGAATAGAAAAAATTGCTGGATACATATTTAATTGTTTAATAAAGCAATAAATTTAATAATTCAATTTTTTTTTAAATAAATAATTTTTACATTTAAATGATATTCTTCAAAAATTCAATTATTTGAAAGAATTTTTTAAAATTGAAACTTTTAAATTTCAGTTTTCGTTTGTAATTTCTGATATAATTTTTAAAAATAGAGATCATAAAAAATTTCAATTTAAAATTACTTGAAGTTCAATTATATTTTCAAAAATATGAATTGTAAATCTTTGACAATTCTATTATTTTTTAAAAATATTATCTAAAATTATTTATTTTCAATTCTGTAAAATTTAATTATATTGTCTTTTTAAAGGTTTTAAATTAAAATTGTTGAAAATAATTGAATTTCAAGTGATTTTGAATTGAAATTTAAAAAAAAATTTAATTATTATTGAATTTGATAAAATTTTTCATTGAAAAATTGTTTTAAATAATTAAATTTGTGAAGAATTTCATTAAAATTATTGAAAATACAAATTAATTTAGAAAAGAATTTCAGTTAAAAATTTGTTAAATTTTTAATTAAAAAAAAGGCAAAAAAATCACAATTTTATAAATCAGCAAAAATTATAATAACTTTTGCGTTTCTTATCTTCTTTTTATCTCACATCAATTTTACGATAAATAATCATTATAACGCTCAAGTTTCGAAAATTTCCTTTATTTTTATTCAAATTTTAATATTCCTTTCACTAGAATTTATTTTAAATTTTCAACAATTTCGTTTTCACAAAAATATGAGATGCAAATCGTTAAGTGATGAGCAAATTACGTTTTAAAAATCGACAATTTGTTTGCCTAAATTTACAATTAAAATATCTAAAACAAAAAAAAAGAATCAATAGACGTCATATGACTATAAAAGAAACGTTTTAACTGAACATATAAATTATGCGTTTGTAAACACTCAAATATCGTTTTCTATGAAAAAGAGCAAATACATAACGCAAATATTTCTCATTATTCAAAACAAAAAAAAAAAATTTTTTCACCTAAATTTAAATAAATAAATTATATAACAATTACATAATTATTTATTATTTATCTATAATTTAAATAAGTTTTTTTACGCTCGTGAAATAATATGAAAATTTTTAATTCACATGAGAAAATTGGAAAATTTTTTTTTTTTTTTTTACAAAACGAAAAACTATTTTTCCGTAAAGAAAAAAAAAATATGATACAGAACACACGCGTTAAATAAGAAAACCATTTACAATATTGTTCATTTCTTATCACAGGGAAAAATGTTTTTTTTTTTTTTTTTTTTTTTTTCATTGCAAACTATTATTATTATTTATTTTTCACAAGAGTTTTTCGGAGGAAAAAAAAAGAGAATCTTTTTTTTGTTCTAATCTGGCGATTTTTTCCTTGCTGGATCATTTTCCGTTCCCCAATCTTCAGATATGTATTTTAATAAATCGGTGAGTCCATCAAATTCAGTTCGACTTTGTGGTGGATCATTTTTTGGTATTCTTGGCAATATTGAACCCATTTTATAACGAAATTCCTCAGCATTTTTTGCGCCTGATAATTTCCAAATACCATAAAATAATAATCCACAACCGGTAAATGCATAAAATGTTCCCCAGCCTAATGCACGAAATGCAAGTGATGCACCACTATCGTGAAGACCTTTAACACCAACAACTCCGTCTTGGAAATATTTTGGATCTTGTTTACGAACAACGGCTAATGTACTTCCAAAACCAATCAAGAAGGAAAACCCAGTGATTGCACTCACAAAGGCAACAGCTTTTGTTGTTTTTGGTTTTTTTTTTGTTTTTTTTTTTTTTTTTTGTTTTTGGGAAAAATAAATTCATTTTTAGTTTGAAAAAAAATAATTATTTGCTCGGTTATGAGAATATTTTATATTATAAATTATAATAATAATAATTTATATTATAAATAATAATAATAATAATTTATATAATTAAAATTATGCAGGCCTTGAATTATACGACTTTTTTCGACTTATTTTAATAAAATACGATTTTTTCGACTTTTTTTTTTACATTTTTTTAAAAAAATTTTTACATACATTTAGTATTTAATACATTTTTTCAGTACACAATGCAGATTTTTGTCAGATATTCTTTATTTCAATTATTTAACAAATTTTTAAATAAAATTCTTCACTAAATTAATTATTTTTAATAATAATTTTAATGAAATTCTTCACAAATTCAATTATTTTAAACAATTTTTCAATTAAACTTTTTATGAAAATTAATTTAATTTTATTTAAAATTCAATTATTTACAAAATTTTCAATTTAAAATCAACTAAAAATCAATTATTTTCCAAAATTTCAATTCAAAATCAATTGAAATTCAATTATTTTCAAAATTTTCAATTCAAAAAAAACTAAAACTCAATTCTTTTTCAAAATATTAATTAAAATTCAATTAAATTCAAAATTTCAATTAAAAATCTAAAAAATTCAATTATTTACAAAATTTTCAATTTAAAATCAACTAAAAATCAATTATTTTCCAAAATTTCAATTCAAAATCAATTGAAATTCAATTATTTTCAAAATTTTCAATTCAAAATAAACTAAAATTCAATTCTTTTTCAAAATATTAATTAAAATTCAATTAAATTCAAAATTTCAATTAAAAATCTAAAAAATTCGATTATTTTACAAAATTTACAATTTAAAATCAACTAAAATTAAATTATTTTCCAAAATTTCAATTCAAAATCAATTAAAATTCAATTATTTTCAAAATTTTCAATTCAAAATAAACTAAAATTCAATTCTTTTTCAAAATATTAATTAAAATTCAATTAAATTCAAAATTTCAATTAAAAATCTAAAAAATTCGATTATTTTACAAAATTTTAATTCAAAATCAACTAAAATTCAATTATTTTCCAATATTTCAATTCAAAATCAATTGAAATTCAATTATTCTTAAAATTTTCAATTCAAAATCAAATAAAATTCAATTATTTTCAAGATTTTCAATTCAAAATCAATTAAAATTAAATTATTTTTAAATTTTTTTGTTCAAAATAAACTAAAATTCAATTATTTTCTAATATTTCAATTCAAAATCAACTAAAATTATATTATTATCCAATATTTCAATTCAAAATCAAATAAAATTCAATTATTTTACAAAATTTTTAATTCAAAATCAACTAAAATTTATTTTTTTCCAAAATTTCAATTCACAATTCAATTATATTCAAAATTTGAATTTAAAATTAAATAAAATTTAATTTTTTTCTAATATTTCAATTCAAAATCAATTAAAATTAAATTATTTTCAAATTTTTCGGTTCAAAATCAACTAAAATTCAATTATTATCCAACATTTCAATATAAAATCAATTAAAATTCAATTATGTTACAAAAATTTTAATTCAAAATCAACTAAAATTCAATTATTTTGAAAAATTTTAATTGAAATTGAATTTTTTTTAAAATTTACAATTCAAAATCAACTAAAATTTAATTATTTTTCAATATTTCAATTGAAATTTAATTTCAATTATTTTCAAAATTTTGAATGAAATTTTTTGAAAATAATTTCATTGTGAATTTGAATTTAATTTTTTGAAAATAATGGAATTTGACTGATTTTGATAAAAAAATCTTTGATGATTTATTTTGTTGAAGAATTTATTAGAAATTACAGATAAAAATTAAAAATTTGTTGATTAAAAAATTTTTTCAGATAATTGAATTTTCGAAGAATATTATAAAAATCATTAAAGATAATTGAAATATAGAATAGTTATAATTGAAATTATTAAATATCAAAAAGTTTTTAATAAACAATTTTAGAAGGATGTAAATTAAAATTTTTAATAATAATTAAACTTTAAGTGATTTTTAATTGAAATTTTTGGTAATTTTAATTCACGCTTTAAAAAAAAAATTTTCAAATTATTAAATATCATAAAATTTTTAAGTTCTCATCATAAATGAGAAAGTATCAATTTTTTAAATTTAATTTTATCAGCTGTATTTTTTTTTAATTTCTAAGAATTCATTTTTAGTGTTTTTCTTTGAATTTTTAAAGAAATATTTATAATACTATTAAAAAAAATTGAATTTTGGAAAAAAGTTACAGTTTAAATTTTTAGAAATAATTTAATTAAAAAATTTTTTTTTTAATTGAAAAATGCTTTCATATAATTAAATTTTTAAAGAATATTATAAAAATCATTAAGAATTAATTTAATTTGGAAGAATTACAGCTAACATTTTACGAAATATATTAAATTTAAAAGAAAATTTTTAAAAATTTTAGACAATAATTAAATTTTACAGAATTGAAAATAATTTATCAAATAATTTTACAGCAAATTTTTAAAGTAATTGAATTTTTAAAGATTTACAATTCAAATTTTTGAAATTAATTGAACTTCAAGTGATTTTTAATTGAAATTTTTGGTGAAGAATTTATTAGAAATTAAAAATTACAGACAAAAATTAAATTAAAATGTTTTTAATTTGAAAAATTCTTTTAAATAATTGAATTTTTTAAAAGAATATTATAAAAAATCATATAAAATAATTGAATTTTTTAAAAATTATTAAAAATAATTAAATTTTAGAAGATAAACAGTTAAATTTTTAGAAATAAATAAATTAAAAAAAAAAAAAAAAATATTGAAAATAATTTAATTTTGGAAAAGAAATAGTTAAATTTTTAGAAATAATTAAATTTAAAAAAGTTTTAGATGAAAAATTTTAAAAATAATTAAATTTTAAAAGGTTTTAAAATGAAATTTTTGGTAATTTTATTTGGATGTTTTTTTTTAAATTGTAAACTCTTAAATTTCATAAAATTTTTAATTTAAAAATAATTTCAAATAATTGAATTTGTTGAAGAATTTCATTAAAAGTTATTAAAAATAATTAATATAGAGAAAAATTTTAGTTAAAAATTCGTTAAATAATTGGAAATAAAGAAGATCAGTATTTTATACTAAAAAAATATGTATTTTGTTTAAAAATTTTGTAAAAAAAAACTGTTTAAAAAAAGTCGGTCTGTTAATGTTGAAAAAAATTGTTTTTTCGAAAAAAAAGTCGTATAATCAAAGGCCTTTAAATTGTGAAATTTTTTTCATATTAATGTATATTATTTAGAATTAAAAGTTGGAATTTAAAAATGTTAATATTGTACAAAAAAAAAAAAAATAGGTTAGGATTCATTGTGAAAGAAAAATTGATATTTAATTTAAAAATTAAATGAATGTAATAACAAAAATTCACCTTTAAATCTTTCCTTCTTTTTCGTGGCATCTTTATTTGATAATTTATCTACTGTTTGTATATCTGGATTAATAGGAAGTAAAACGTTGGATTCCGAGGACATTTTTTTAATGTTTTTCAAAGTTACGTAGTTAACTATAAGCACGAGGTTTTTATAGATACGTAAAATATTTACCGTGATTTACCTTTTGTTTCCAGGGATGGGAAAATATGGACAAATTACAATTAAGCTTGTATCACATTACAAAAATAAATGTCTGTCTTTTTTTTGACCCATGTAAAGGTGCTTTTATATCTCAAATTTCGATCAGATGAACATTATTTCTGGAACGTGAAAATGCGTGAAAAGTCATTTTCACGGCGGGTATTTTTGAATTGTTTTAAACAAAAAATATTTTTTTTTAAGAAATATAATATTAAATATTTAGTTAAATATGTAAGAACACTTTAAAATAGTAATAGAAAGATGATTTGATTGAAAAATTTAGCTAATTTTGCTATAAAACGTTTTCTGCTACAAGAAAGTGTAAAATGAGTGTGAGTGTCTCTCAAAGTTTTGTTTGCTCACAAGGAAGAAGCACTGTACAAACCATTTCACAAACATCGTCATTTTACACTTTCTTGTAGCAGAAAACGTTTAAAAGCAAAATTAGCTAAATTTTTCAATCAAATCATCTTTCTATCACTATTTTAAAGTATTCTTACATATTAAAACAATTATTTAATATTATATTTCTTAAAAAAAAAACATTTTTTGTTTAAAACAATTCAAAAATACCCGCCGTGAAAATGACTTTTCACGCATTTTCACGTTCCAGAAATAATGTTCATCTGATCGAAATTTGAGGTATAAAAGCACCTTAACACGTTCGCGAAACAATTGTGCATTGGCCTTTATGCCTTGATGTGATTTCACCCTAATTGCCAAAAAAAGTGTCATATTTCAAATGTTTTAATACTATTAAGGCCTAAGCAGAATAGCTTCGCGGAAGAGGTTCGTGAACGTGAAACATGAGTTAGAAAAGGACAGAGATATATTCGTATCCTTTTCTATCTCATGCATCTCGTTCGCGAACTATTTTCGCGAATCTATTGTGCGTTGACCTTTAAGGTATATCACTGAATTTGAATTGCGAGATGGAAAAGGACAAAAAATATTTCTCTATCCTTTTCTAACGACTGTCACACTTGTGCGTTGACCCTTAGCCAATGACGTAACATTATGAACTATGCAACGAATTAAAAAATCGATCGAGAGAGAAGCAAATTCGTGTCTCTCTCGGTTCAAGTTTGCCATCTCTTTATTTTTTTTTTTTTTTAGTACAATAAAAAATGTCGCCTGCTATGGAGGGATTGACTGACCAACAGAAAGAAATTTATGAAAAAATAACGAAAAATGAAGTTGATGAACTTAAAACACTATTGTCAACATGTGAAACAAAATTGGATTTTGTTGATAAAAATGGAATGAGTTTATTGCAACATGCATGTTACAAGGGTAACAAGGAAATTGCGCAGATGCTTCTCGATCAAGTAGGTTATGTTTGTCTTATTGTTTTACGAAAAATATATATATTTTTTTATTTTTATTTATTTATGAATGAATATACATATTTTTTTCACTAGTGTTAATAATTTCTCGTTTATTCATTTATTTCGGGAGTCTTTTTTTTTTTGTTATATATTATTTATAACTTTCTTTTACTTTTTGTAATAAATTACAAGTTGTTTATAATTATTGAACAAGTATTAATTTAACACATTAATATTAGTTTTTTGAAAAGAAACAAATGGAAAATTTTTTTTTCGAAAAAAAATTAAGTATATTGTATAAACGTATTGATTTTTAGGTTATGTGCTCATTTTTTTCGTAATAAATTATTTTTTCCATCCATTTTTTTTTTTTTTTTTTTTGAAATTAGATTTATTTTAATTATCGTTAAATTTTTAACAGGGTTGTCACAAGTTCTTGATTTTTTTTTTTTGATATTTAACTTTGAATTTTAAAACAAAACCTTGAATTATTCGAATTTTAGAAGAAAAAAAAAATATATAAAAAATCTCAGTTTAAGAAAAACGGTTAAAATTCAAAATTAAGAGGAAAAATTCAAATCAAAAAAATGAATTCCTGGAATTTTTTTTTTTTTAATTTTAGAAAATTTTTCATTAATATTTTGTTTTAAATAATTAAATTTTTGTAAAATTTTGAAAATTTATTAAAACTTATTAATTTGGCGAAAAATTTTAGATAAAAATTAAATAAATTTTTGTAAATTTTAATTGAAGATATTTTTTTTTTTACAAATTTTTAACAATAACTGAGTTTTAGGGGAATTTTTAATTAAAAATGTTTGCCAATAATTTGTGAAATGGTATTTGAATAGTCAAAAATTTAAAATGATTATAAATTATTTGGAAAATTATAAATAAATAAAATATTAAATATATAAATTAATATTAAGAATTGAATTTAAAATTAATGAAATAGAATTTTTGGAAATAATGAAAAGAGAATTTAAAATGAAAATGTAAACAGGAAAAATAATAGAAAGAGAGGGTAGATAAAAATTCGAATAAAAAAAAAATAATTAATTTAATTTAAAAAAGATTTTTTTTTTATAGAATAAAGAATTTTTTTTATAAATTATTATTAAACAAATAAATTTTATTTTATATTTTTTAAATTAAAATCAATTTTTATTTTTAATTAATTAAATTTTTGATGGTTAGCAGTTAAATTTTTTTTTAATGATTAAATTTTTAAAAGATTTTTAATTAAAAATTTGAAAAATAGGAAAAATTATAATGAAAATTTTGTGGCAATCCTGTTGATTAATAATTCTCGTTAAGAAAATAGGATTTCTGTTTCATTTTTTTTTTTAACACCTGGAGGTTTTAATTACATTTAAAAAAATTGAATAAAAAAAAAAAATATGAAAATTTCAGGGGGTTGATGTAAATTCTTGTCAACATGAACACGAATACACAGCCTTACATTTTGCTGCATTGAGCGGGAATTCAGATTTATGTCATCTATTGTTGTCTCATGGTGCGCGAATATCAGCGACCAATAGTGTTGGTCGTACTGCTGCTCAAATGGCCGCTTTCGTTGGCAATCACAACTGTGTCTCAACAATTAATAATTTCATCCCAAAGGCTGATATCGATTATTACATTAAACCACAGGGCCTACAAACCGAGCCACTATTACCTCCACATCTTGCCGATTCATTTCACAAATTTATTATGCAAATCAACGTTCATCCCGTACGTGTTGCAATGAATCTTCAACGTTGTCCTGGTCTTTTGGAAAATCTAGAAAAGGTATAAATCAATCTACAAAAAAAAAAAATTTTGTTTTCCTTTTCTTTTTTCTTCCAGACAAAATTTTTGGAGGCGCATGAATTCAAAATGCTCAAAAATCGACAAGAAATAAAATAAAAACTTTTAATTTGAAGATATATGTATATATTCAAAGCATCTTGGTTATTATTTTTTTCGCTCAAAAATTGAGCTGTACATGTCAAAATTCTTAAAACTCGACAAAAAATTTTAAAAAAAGCTTTTATTTTGAAGATATATATTCAGAGCACCCTGGTTATTACTATTTGGCTCAAAAATCGAGTTATATATTTCGAAACGCTCAAAATTCGACAAAAAATAAAAAAAGCTTTTACTCTGTAGGTATTTTTATGATACCTAAAGATATATATATATATATATATTCAAAGCACTCTGGTTATATTTATTTGGATCAAAAATTGAGCTGTGCATATCGAAATGCTCAAAACTCAACAAAAAACAAAATAAAAGATTTATTTTGAAGATATATATTCAGAGCACCCTGGTTATTACTCATTGTCTCAAAATTCGACAAAAAATAAAAGCTTTTAGTTTGTAGGTATTTTTATAATACCTAAAAGTATATATATTCAAAGCACCCTGGTTATATTTGCTTGGCTCAAAAATCAAGTTATATATGTCGAAACGCTCAAAATTCGACAAAAAAATAAAAGCTTTTAGTCTGTAGGTATTTTTATAATACTTAAAGATATATATTCAAAGCACTCTGGTTTCCTTCTTGTTGGTTCAAAAATTGAGCTACGTATATCGAAATTCTCAAAACTCGACAATAAAGAAAATGAAATTCTTTGGTTGAAGATATATATATTCAAAGCACCCTGGTTATTACTTTTTAGCTCAAAAATCCAGTTATATATGTCGAAACGCTCAATATTCGACAAAAAATAAAATAAAAGCTTTTATTTTAAAGAGATATATATTCAGAGCACCCTTGTTATTACTTTTTGGCTCAATATTCGACAAAAAATAAAATAAAAGCTTCTATTTTAAAGAGATATATATTCAGAGCACCCTGGTTATTACTTTTTGTCTCAAAATTCGACAAAAAATAAAAGTTATTAGTTTGTAGCTATTTTTATAATACCTAAAAGTATATATATTGAAAGCACCCTGGTTATATTTGCTTGGCTCAAAAATCGAGTTATATATGTCGAAACGCTCAAAATTCGACAAAAAAATAAAAGCTTTTAGTCTGTAGGTATTTTTATAATACCTAAAAGTATATATATTCAAAGCACCCTGGTTATATTTGCTTGGCTCAAAAATCGAGTTATATATGTCGAAACGCTCAAAATTCGACAAAAAAATAAAAGCTTTTAGTCTATAGATATTTTTATAATACTTGAAGATATATATTCAAAGCACTCTGGTTATTTCTTTTTGGCTCAAAAATTGAGCTACGCATGTCGAAATGCTCAAAACTCAACAATAAAGAAAATGAAATTCTTTGGTTGAAGATATATATATTCAAAGCACCCTGGTTATTTCTTTTTCGATAAAAAATTGACAAAAAATAAAATTAAAACTCTTAATTAGAATATATATATATATATATATATATATATATATATATATATATATATATATTCAAAGCACCCTGCACGGAGAGACCGCCGGTTGGAAAAATTACTAAAAAGATTTACAAGTAGCGGAAATAAGGTTACTTTGTCATATATTGCTGTAGGAAATCGAAAATTCTATTAGCAGCATACTTAATAAAACCTGTATACTATAGTAAAATTGCACACAAATTGGAATAGAAATTACTATAGTCTACAGTTTTATTAAGTATGCTGCTAGTAGAATTTTCGATTTCCTACAGCAATGTTTGACAATGTAACCTTATTTCCGCTACTTGTAAATTTTTTTAGTAATTTTTCTAACCGGCGGTCTCTCCGTGTGGTTATTTTTTGGCTCAAAAATCTAGTCATATATGTCGAAAAGCTCGAAATTCGACAAAAAATTAAAGCTTTTAGTCTGTAGGTATTTTTATAATACTTAAAGATATATATATATATATATATATATATATATATATATAGGTATATATTCAAAGCACCCTGGTTATATTTGGTTGGCTCAAAAATTAATTATTTCTTGAAAATTTCTAATTGGTTAATTTTAAAAATTGCGCCGCAATCATTTTCTTAATTGTTTGTTTGGACATTAATAATTTCGAACAAATGAAAATTGGGTGTTTTAAAAATTCTATCAATTAATAATTCGTATAAATAAAAATTTGGTCAAATTTTGAAATTCAGTGAATTGGAATTTTTCTCATTTTAAATTTTGAATTTCATACAATTCGATTAAATGAGAATTCTGTTAAATTAAAATTTGCTTAAATTAAAATTTATTTATATAAAAAGTCATGTAAAGAAAATGACTGTAAAATAAAAATTCAGCCAAACAAAAAATTTGGAAGCTAAAAATTTTGTTTGGTAAAAATTAGTAAAAAAAAAGAAAGAAAGAAATTCTGTCAAATGGCTAATTTAAAATTTGAAAATTCGTCTAAAAAATAATTTTTTCTAATAAAATTCTTTAAAATAAAAATTTTAATTAATGATTTCTATGGGACAATCATGCGCCTCAAATTTTGTCTCGGAAGATTTTAATCTCGGAAGATTAAATTTATCAACACGAACTTCTTGTTTCTATAAATACTTTATAAAAATGATGCCGAAATAGAAAAAGAGAAATAAAAAATTAATTTCAGATTCAAAAGGTATTGGAAGTGATGCGCCATCGTGAAATGACACGCGGTGCAGAAACAAATGAAGTAATTGCTTTCAAATATCATTATTTGAGTTTTGTAGTGGCGGAAGTGATAAAAAGTCAAAATCGACAGAAAGCAATGAAAGCTCAAACCGCGACTGAAAAAGAAAAATGCAACGATGAAGGCGGCGGTGGTGAGGAAAAAAAATCGGATCCCGTCGAGGCTCTCGTACGACGTTTTCTCAAGTGCAATAAAACTGACGGTATACCAGAATATCAAGAGGCATTTTTACGCGAAGCCGTTAGAGAATTTCCCTTTAGGGAGAGTACAATTTTTCATCAAATGGTAGCAACACTCGCTGGTACCGATCCACCTTCGGCAGTTTCCGTTGTCTCAGCGGCAATTAATGGCCAACGTGGATTTATGGATCAGGCACAAATTTGCGTCACATGTGGCGAGGAAAAAGTTACGAAAAAATGCAGTAAATGTAAAGCCGTGCAATATTGCGATCGTGAATGTCAACGACTTCATTGGTTTATGCATAAAAAAGCTTGCGCACGTCTTGAAACATCAACTAATTCGGGCACAAAATTAAGTCAAGAGAATAAGGAACAAATTGCAAATGCCGTCAGCTCAAGGTTACAGAATTTGACCGTTAATTAAGAGAGGAATTTGACTTTTTTTCTTGGGGGGGGGGGGAAGGACGCTTCGAATAAGTTTCAAAAATCAGAATTATAATTTAAGTAGAATTTTATTAGATATAATTTTCATTAAGCCGAATTTTTATTATTATTTTGCAGAATTTTCATTAAACCAATTTTTTATATTAGAGAACTTTTCAATAATCGAAAATTTACTTTACAGTTTTTTTATTTCTTCGAATTTTTATTTGATTGACATCGGCATGATTTTTCAAATAAAAAATTTCAGCAATTAAAAATTCTAAATTCGAAGTAATAAAAATTATGTGGATTAAATTTTTGGTTATTTGAAAAATGTTGTAACAGAGAAAATCGGTTTAATGAAAATTTTACTATAAATAATAATTCGAAGAAATAAAAATTCGGTCCAATGAAATTTATATCTAATGAAATGCGATTAAATGAAAATGCTAATAATTTGATTTTTATAACTTATTCATTCGTCCCTTTTTTTCTCAATGTAAATATAGAGGAAAAGTTTTTTTTTTCTTCTTGTCCCGAAAATTGAAAACAACACGTAGAAAAAGAGTCTGAATTCTGTAAAAAAAAGACCGAAGTCTGAAGAAGCTTTAATTTTTATTCATCTAAAAGAAATAATTGACTCGTTAGGGAAAAAAGAAGAGGGTTTTGTAAAACTTTGGTCTAAAAAAAAAAAAATATTCGAGCTTCCAAAAATTAGAGAATTGAGTAATTTCTGTATAGAAATAATGAATTTCTTAATCTTGATAATTGTATTCATTTAGGAAAATATTTTTTTTTTCGAATTTAGTAGCCAATTGACAAATTTAAAATGAAAATTCATTGATTAGAGAATTGTTTTTTTTTTTTTTATTTTAAATCAATATTGAATTTTTAAAAAGTGACAATGAATTATGTTTTTTTTTATTTTTCTCACATTCTTTTTTGATCTCAATAACCAATCTCGTAGAGATATGGATCTCAATTGTGGAAACAATGGAAAAAAGTGCATTTATTTACACAGTCTCTCTCTAGTCTTCGGTGCTCTTCTATAATTCGTCTCCTGAATTTATTATTCTGACGTTTGTTCTTATAGTGAGGGTAAATACTTGTTGGTATTTGTCTAAAAAAAAACTAAATTTTCTTCGTTTTTTTTGTCTAGTGCGAGAGTGTAATTTTCCTTTTTTTTTTTATTTACATCGACTTACCATTGGATTATTGTTTTGTAAAGTTACTGTAGGTGTGTGTGTGTGTGTATACGTGTGTATGTGTGTGCGTGAAAAATATATGTTCCTTTCGACCTTTTAATGCGTTCATTAAGGCGTACTTAAGAAAAAAGAAAAAGAAAAAATACCAAACGCATATATATTTAAAAACGTTCTTTTTTCTTTTTCTTTTAGAATTGAGTTCACATTTTTATCCCACAATGTATTCTCTCTTTTTCAATAAAAATATATTATCTTCTGTGCAAACATTTAAAAAATTTGTGTCATTTTTTTTTCATTTTAATTCTTCAACTCCGATTACACGATTATTTCGATTTATTTTAATAAAATGTGACTTTTTTTACATTAAAAAAAAAAAAAATTCAACGAAATCCATGTTTTTAGAGTATACCCAAGACACACTCTCCCTACTGCGCAGTATATATGCTTCTCTATCGCTCTCTTTCCCCTAACACCATTCTCAATGAGGAAGGAGGTAAGAGGAGAGAGAGAGAGGGGGTGTGTGCGTGAGAGGGAGAGCGATAGCATGCGCTACGTAGAAACAGCGTGAGACAGAACGAAAGAGAGGACCTTTATTGAAAATCCAATAAAGAAGCAAACCACTAATTTTTTTTAAAAATTAATTCTACATGGAAAAATACGTTTCGTTTTTAATTATTAGCTGTAAATATTAATTTTTAAAATAGTTGTACCTATTTATCTATAAAAATTATGTCTTTTCAAGTCATAATTATTTTTCCAAGAAAATTCTGTCTTTCACTTTAAATGGGAATTTAAAATTTCAAAAATTTACGTGGGACAGCCGTTAGGCTTCTCTACTGGGTTTCTAGTACATAGTAGGGTCGTGGGTTCGATTCCTCACGACTGTGGGTTTTTGTCCGGGTTGAAAATTCTCCCTCACTCTCATTCTCTCTCACGCTCTCTCAGTAGCACACACTGTCTCCCTCCCCCTCACACAAACTCTCTCTCCTGCGCACTATTTCTGCTCCTCTCTCGCTCACTCTCCCCTATCTCCCTCCACAATGAGGAAGAAGGTGAGAAGAGAAGAGTGCAAGAATTTGCATTAAAATCGTCTGCCTAAGAAAAATTGAATTTTTTTGGGAACTTTTTTATGATTTTGGATTTTTGGGTCGGATGACTTTTTGGTGGTAATAGGTGTCTTCCTCTACTCGGATTCGGCTGTCAATTTTTTTCTACACTTTCAGGTGTATTTTGTGCAAGAAATTGCAATAAAATAGTCTGCCTAAGAAAAATTGAATTTTTTTGGGAACTTTTTTATGATTTTGGATTTTTGGGTCAGATGACTTTTTGGTTGTAATAGGTGTCTTCCTCTACTTGGATTCGGCTGTCAATTTTTTTCAACACTGTTAGGTGTATTTTGTGCAAGAAATTGCAAATACAATAGTCTGCCTAAGAAAAATTGAATTTTTTTGGGAACTTTTTTATGATTTTGGATTTTTGGGTCGGATGACTTTTTGGTGGTAATAGGTGTCTTCCTCCACTCGGATTCGGCTGTCAATTTTTTTCTACACTTTTAGGTGTATTTTGTGCAAGAAATTGCAATAAAATAGTCTGCCTAAGAAAAATTGAATTTTTTTGGGAACTTTTTTATGATTTTGGATTTTTGGGTCGGATGACTTTTTGGTGGTAATAGGTGTCTTCCTCTACTCGGATTCGGCTGTCAATTTTTTTCTACACTTTCAGGTGTATTTTGTGCAAGAAATTGCAATAAAATAGTCTGCCTAAGAAAAATTGAATTTTTTTGGGAACTTTTTTATGATTTTGGATTTTTGAGTCAGATGACTTTTTGGTTGTAATAGGTGTCTTCCTCTGCTCGGATTCGGCTGTCAATTTTTTTCTACACTTCCAGGTGTATTTTGTGCAAGAAATTGCAATAAAATAGTCTGCCTAAGAAAAATTGAATTTTTTTGGAAACTTTTTTATGATTTTGAATTTTTGGGTTAGATGACTTTTTGGTTGTAATAGGTGTCTTCCTCTACTTGGATTCGGCTGTCAAATTTTTTCTACACTTTTAGGAGTATTTTGTGCAAGAAATTGCAATAAAATAGTCTGCCTAAGAAAAATTGAATTTTTTTGGGAACTTTTTTATGATTTTGGATTTTTGGGTCGGATGACTTTTTGGTGGTAATAGGTGTCTTCCTCTACTCGGATTCGGCTGTCAATTTTTTTCTACACTTTTAGGAGTATTTTGTGAAAGAAATTACAATAAAATAGTCTGCCTAAGAAAAATTGAATTTTTTTGGGAACTTTTTTATGATTTTGGATTTTTGGGTCGGATGACTTTTTGGTGGTAACAGGTGTCTTCCTCGACTCGGATTCGGCTGTCAATTTTTTCCTACACTTTTAGGTGTATTTTGTGCAAGAAATTGCAATAAAATAGTCTGCCTAAGAAAAATTGAATTTTTTTGGGAACTTTTTTATGATTTTGGATTTTTGGGTCAGATGACTTTTTGGTTGTAATAGGTGTCTTCCTCTACTTGGATTCGGCTGTCAATTTTTTTCAACACTGTTAGGTGTATTTTGTGCAAGAAATTGCAAATACAATAGTCTGCCTAAGAAAAATTGAATTTTTTTGGGAACTTTTTTATGATTTTGGATTTTTGGGTCGGATGACTTTTTGGTGGTAATAGGTGTCTTCCTCTACTCGGATTCGGCTATCAATTTTTTTCTACACTTTCAGGTGTATTTTGTGCAAGAAATTGCAATAAAATAGTCTGCCTAAGAAAAATTGAATTTTTTTGGGAACTTTTTTATGATTTTGGATTTTTGGGTCAGATAACTTTTTGGTTGTAATAGGTGTCTTCCTCTACTTGGATTCGGCTGTCAAATTTTTTCAACACTTTCAGGTGTATTTTGTGCAAGAAATTGCAATAAAATAGTCTGCCTAAGAAAAATTGAATTTTTTTGGGAACTTTTTTATGATTTTGGATTTTTGGGTCGGATGACTTTTTGGTTGTAATAGGTGTCTTCCTCTACTCGGATTCGGCTGTCAATTTTTTCCTACACTTTTAGGTGTATTTTGTGCAAGAAATTGCAATAAAATAGTCTGCCTAAGAAAAATTGAATTTTTTTGGGAACTTTTTTATGATTTTGGATTTTTGGGTCGGATGACTTTTTGGTGGTAATAGGTGTCTTCCTCTACTCGGATTCGGCTATCAATTTTTTTCTACACTTTCAGGTGTATTTTGTGCAAGAAATTGCAATAAAATAGTCTGCCTAAGAAAAATTGAATTTTTTTGGGAACTTTTTTATGATTTTGGATTTTTGGGTCAGATGACTTTTTGGTTGTAATAGGTGTCTTCCTCTACTTGGATTCGGCTGTCAATTTTTTTCAACACTGTTAGGTGTATTTTGTGCAAGAAATTGCAATAAAATAGTCTGCCTAAGAAAAATTGAATTTTTTGGGAACTTTTTTGTGATTTTGGATTTTTGGGTCGGATGACTTTTTGGTGGTAATAGGTGTCTTCCTCTACTCGGATTCGGCTGTCAATTTTTTCCTACACTTTTAGGTGTATTTTGTGCAAGAAATTGCAATAAAATAGTCTGCCTAAGAAAAATGGAATTTTTTTGGGAACTTTTTTATGATTTTGGACTTTTGGGTCGGATGACTTTTTGGTGGTAATAGGTGTCTTCCTCTACTCGGATTCGGCTGTCAATTTTTTTCAACACTTTTAGGTGTATTTTGCGCAAGAAATTGCAATAAAATAGTCTGCCTAAGAAAAATTGAATTTTTTTGGAAACTTTTTTATGATTTTGAATTTTTGGGTTAGATGACTTTTTGGTTGTAATAGGTGTCTTCCTCTACTTGGATTCGGCTGTCAATTTTTTTCTACACTTTTAGGAGTATTTTGTGCAAGAAATTGCAATAAAATAGTCTGCCTAAGAAAAATTGAATTTTTTTGGGAACTTTTTTATGATTTTGGATTTTTGGGTCGGATGACTTTTTGGTGGTAACAGGTGTCTTCCTCTACTCGGATTCGGCTGTCAATTTTTTCCTACACTTTTAGGTGTATTTTGTGCAAGAAATTGCAATAAAATAGTCTGCCTAAGAAAAATTGAATTTTTTGGGAACTTTTTTATGATTTTGGATTTTTGGGTCGGATGACTTTTTGGTGGTAATAGGTGTCTTCCTCTACTCGGATTCGGCTGTCAATTTTTTTCTACACTTTCAGGTGTATTTTGTGCAAGAAATTGCAATAAAATAGTCTGCCTAAGAAAAATTGAATTTTTTTGGGAACTTTTTTATGATTTTGGATTTTTGGGTCAGATGACTTTTTGGTTGTAATAGGTGTCTTCCTCTACTTGGATTCGGCTGTCAATTTTTTTCAACACTGTTAGGTGTATTTTGTGCAAGAAATTGCAAATACAATAGTCTGCCTAAGAAAAATTGAATTTTTTTGGGAACTTTTTTATGATTTTGGATTTTTGGGTCGGATGACTTTTTGGTGGTAATAGGTGTCTTCCTCCACTCGGATTCGGCTGTCAATTTTTTTCTACACTTTTAGGTGTATTTTGTGCAAGAAATTGCAATAAAATAGTCTGCCTAAGAAAAATTGAATTTTTTGGGAACTTTTTTATGATTTTGGATTTTTGGGTCGGATGACTTTTTGGTGGTAATAGGTGTCTTCCTCTACTCGGATTCGGCTGTCAATTTT